CTGCCTAAGTAATTCCTTCTTAACTCCTATATCACTATCACATATATAATAATAATGAAAAAGTTTGAAATACTATTGCAAGAATTACCAAAATGTGACACAGTGACATGAAGTGAGCACATGCTGTTGGAAAAATGTCGCCAATAGATTGTTCGACAAGGTTGCCACAAATCTTCAATTTGTTAGAAAAAAATAATAATACAGTATCTGCAAAGCACAATAAAGTGAAATGTAATAAAATAAGATCTGCCTATAATTCTAATTTTGCAGAAAATACTATTTATATTTTAAGTAACTGAATAGAAAACTAAGCAAAACACAATATAAGTGCTAACATAATAAACCACAAGCTCTGTGAAGTTACGTACTTGCTAATTTAGTTTCAAAGCTACAAACCAAACTGAAGTCTCAAATGCAGCAAATGCCTCTGAAATGAGGTTTCTATGGACTCATAAACCACAAAACAATCAGGGCAAAAGAATAACTGAAATTATTTGTCTCCTACTTTTAATAAGGACAGAACATTTGCATGTGTAAAATCTCTCCCAAGTCCAACTTCAATCATGCTGCCCAACTTAAAAGTTGATTTGTAAGATGAAGAGATCTGATGGAAACAAACCAACATACGCACATTACAGCAAGGATAGCGGTAATTCCAAAACCTTGTCTGGTGGAGGAAGAAAGTTAGGATACTTTTCAGGTTTCCGGCTTGGGAGCTACTAAAATATAGCAAGTGGAGAAAACAGGCATTTGAATAAGGGAATAGACAGTAAGTTCCAGTTGAGGTACTTTGATTTCAAGGTCCCCATGGGACACCTAGTGGGCCAATAAGGATGCAGGTGCACAGAGCGAGAGAGGCCACATCTCCTCACACAGGTGATCTTTCTGAGTGAGCAAGACTGCTCAGGGAGAGCACACAGAATGGATGAAGGTGGAATCACTGCAAAGTCGCTCCTGAAAGTGGAGTGAGAGAGGTCCAAATAAACCAGGAAACAGTGTCAGAGAGGCTGGGAAGAGAGAGTACAACTCTCAAGTGACCCAGAAAGGTCAAATCAAGTTTGAAAGGAGACTGCATTTCACGGTAAGAAATCTTCTGAGGCCTTTGTGAAAGGAATAGGGGTTATACAATTAGAGATGAAGAAGAAAAGTCAATAAATTCACAAAGTGTTTTCCTTAACAGAAAAATAAACTGGTGGCAGAGGATAGGGGCTTGGGAAAGGGGATGCACAGGAAATCATAGAAGTTCCTCGAGGCAGGGAGGAAAAGCCCAGGCTTTTGTCAGAAAATAGGAGCCCTTAGAGAGAAAATTAGTTTTTATTTTACCTTTCTTTCTTTAAATATCCAGTCATGCATTGTATAAGCACATTTTCGTCAATGATGGGTTGCATATACAACAGTGATTCATTAAGATTATAAATGCATTTTAACTGTGCCTTTTCTGTGTTTAGATATGTTTACATACACAAATACTCACCACAGTGTTCCACTTGCCTTCAGTATTCAGTACAGTAACATGCTGTACAGGTTGGCAGCCTAGGAGCAATAGGCTATACTGTATAGCCTAGGTATCGTGAAAGGAAATTGAATTTGAAGACTCCAAACTCATTTAGCTGAAGAGAAAATTCAAGCTGGGAGCTGGGTCACGTAAACCTGCCTCTCCCTTTTGGTTCCTAAATAAGACTGCTACAAGATGAAAAGCTACATGACTCCCTCATATTTTTCCCACAAGGAAATTCCTAGTGAGCTGTTAAAACTTTATCCTGGCAAAGCAAACTGACAGCTCATCTTTACAGGTACAGTCACCCCTGATTGTATCTGACTCTTCCCTTACCCCATTTTGTCTATGTTATCTGATGTAAAATGCAGATTCTTCATATTTTTCCTCTGCCCCTTTTGTCATCCTATCTAAAAAAAAAAAAAAAAAAAAAAAGTAGATTCACTGAGCCAGACAAAGGCATGAATGACTAATTTTCCCTACCCCAGCTCTTACATTAAAACTGTGTGCTTCTCAACATCCTACCCTTTACCCTTTAAATTTGGAGCCCTCAAAATCACCTTCAGGGAAAGGCACAGACCTGTCTCCCTGGTGTGTCCTTAACTTTGGCAAATAAATCTCCTAAAATGATTGCGGCTTGTCTCATTATTTTCCTGACCAACAGTATGTAGTAGGCTAGACCAGTTAGGTTTGTGTAAAAATATTCTATGATGTACCCACCATGACAAAATCGCCTAATGACTGTTTCTCAGAACATATCCCTGTCATTGACATATGACTGTATAATAGGTACATGGCAAAAATGCCAAAGTTATTCAAAGTGGGTATATAATGACAACTCAATCTCCCTCCCAACACTATCCCCAATTCCCTTCCCCAGAGGCAATCACTACTGTAAGGGGTGAGTGTTTTTTTTTTTTTTTTTTTTTTTTTTTTTTTTTTTTTTTTTTTTTTTTTTTTTTTTTTTTTTTTGAGACGGAGTTTCGCCCTTGTTACCCAGGCTGGAGTGCAATGGCGCGATCTCGGCTCACCGCAACCTCCGCCTCCTGGGCTCAGGCAATTCTCCTGCCTCAGCCTCCCGAGTAGCTGGGATTACAGGCACGTGCCACCATGCCCAGCTAATTTTTTGCACTTTTAGTAGAGACGGGGTTTCACCACGTTGACCAGGATGGTCTCGATCTCTCGACCTCGTGATCCACCCGCCTCGGCCTCCCAAAGTGCTGGGATTACAGGCTTGAGCCACCGTGCCCGGCCAAGGGGTGAGTGTTTTTAAGGGCACTGAATTATCCTAAAATGGAATGTACAAGTTATTCATTTAAAAGTAAGTCTGCTTACAACTGCATTCTATCAAGACGAATTGTTAAGATAAAGAGAAGACTTAGACAGGCTGCCCCTGCTCACCTCCCACCCCACTACCTCCTTCCTCAGTACGTGGACCCTCCCTTCCCTGTGCCTTTCAACAATGGAAGTACTTCGTGTGGCGTACATACTGAGAATTACCACCTACTAGAAATGACGGTTGAGAATGATTTCTGTGTGACATAGACATTTTTATATATTTAGCCAAAGCATCCAAAACAAGGTATAATTTAAGTACTTAAATAAAAATATCAAAATTTATTTAATTACATACTTCCCAAGACTTCCAAGAATAAAAGAGAAACAAAGTATTCCATCTTAAAATAAAACATAAGTCTCCTCTAAATCTCACACTTTTCTTAGTCTGGTTTTCAGCTTTATTCTTCAGGTAGATGACTGTATCCTTTTACTTTTCAAGTAGAGACCTGGTCAAAGGATACCTAATGTTTAACAATTTTTTTTAAAAACTACCATCACTTAAAGGGTAAAAGATATTTAAAATCCAACCAAAATTGGGTTTTTCTCAAGTTTCCTTGGATACAAATATATTAAAGGATCAAAAGCACCTCCCTACTGGCTTCCTAATTATTTCTGCCAAGTACAAATGACAAGTATGAACTCATTCTCCACTTAGAGTGAGCTTTAGGACAAGCTGCCTGTTTTTTAATCCTGTTATTGGCTGAATGATCCAAATACTAAAAAGAGGGTTAACATAATAGAAACAGGAGCCAGGTATTCTGAATAAATTCTGTGTACTTTTGCCACGTACAGTAACTGCTGGCAAGAATTCCACTGCATGGCATTTTGAATCTCTTTCCACTACTCTCTCACTTACCAAACCTTTTCCAGATAAACATGGCCAATTTGCACATTTCCACTCATTCACACAAAGATGAACAGCTGCTTAATTAAAGAAGTTCATTCCAATCTCCTGCTGAAATACTTTATACAAGAATCCAACGCTTGCTTTTTGTAAAATTTCTCAAACATCTTTATAGCTTTGGTCATTTCATACTGAAGCAAAGTTATTCTCTGAATCTATTTCTTTTTAACTCATAAATGAATCAAGCTTAAGTCACTTATAAGTCCAATATCATATGGATATTACTTCCCCATGTGTCTCTGGGTAAACCTGACTCAGACCCCCAATTCCATCATTTGTAAGAATTCTGGATCTGATTATATCAGCAAATTCCCAACCTAACTAACTCTGGTCTTCCCAGTTTCTTTTCCCATTTTGGCTGGCAATGTCTCTCTTAGCAAGCTTAAAGAAAGAATTCTACTTTTGCCTAGCTTCTTCTAAGGGTACTGAGATTACTGACAGGATCACTGAGGGGCTCACACTGCCAGTGGCATACCCACTTATTCTGCCTGGGCCTAGTCCCATTTCACTGCCTCTATCAAGCCTACATTCTTGAAACAAGAATGCAATCCTGCACTCTCACAGGTTCCTCACTGTTTTTGTTTTGGGAAACAGCCACACCTGGGCAGTCTGCCTTCCCCAGGCTCCCTAAAATTATGGGTATTAATACCTTTCTCAATCCCATTATATACCTGGCTCACATCCAAGGTGACATTAGAAGTAACTCAAGATACACAGTGTACATCATCACTGAAGAGCAAAAGAGATGAGTACTTCTAAAATAGTAAAATGCAATCATTATATTAATACCTGAAGGTCTACAACAGAGAGGTTTCCTACTGACATTCCATAGAGGTGGGAGAGAGGCTAAAAAGAAGTGGGAAGATCTCAAGTGTAAATAAAGCACTATGAGATTTTTGCTTTTTTCTATCCAATCCACACAAGATTTACATTAACTCGGCAATCATTAACTTACTTTAGGTTCTAGAGAGAAAAACAAAAATAGTCAGACGGCTGGTAGCAAATGACTAAAATAAATTTCTTCTTAATTACTGATCATGCAAATGAAGGCAAGTAGTCGAAGTGAAAACTGTATTCTCTAAATGGAAACAGATACCAAAGAAAGCTTACAAGATTTTAAGTCTTTTGAAAAATTTTATCTTTCTAAATGGTGACACTGAATGACTGCAGTTGTAAAAATTAAACTATACTGGTAAACATGATATCCTGGCACCATGTTTGTTTTAACGGCTTTCCTCATATTTTTCATGCTCTTTTTGCTAGGCATCCTGAGTTCAAATCGGACTAATGAATTCAGGGTGAGTCCTGCAACAAAATTCACCAATTTTGTCATTACTTGGAAAAGGAAGTCAGAAGGAAATTTTAAGACACTGAATAAAACATGATCTTATTCATTCAAGCTTTACACAATGCTCCCCAAAAAGTGTTTCTTATAACGCAAGAGTCTTGTGATATCGGCACAGAAGGGCTCTTTGCTCAGGTAATTATGGGAAACACTGGGCTGAACACTCAGACCTTTAATGCGAACCGGGAACCTCCAAGAGCTCGTCAAGTTGTGGGTTGTTCTCCTAACTTATTTGAGCAAAGAACTTTCTTTCAGGGAAGTGTACAGTTAAGTACTCCAGCTTAAAAAATATTGCACTATACATAAAGATCCCTCTACACACACACACACATTTTAAAAATATGAAATACATGTAATATGGTTTCAATTGAAAATTTCTGTGCATTTCAGCACAGCACTTGAATAAAATTCATTTCCATCTCTGCATGTATCATATTTGCTGTTTTGTAAGAACAAAAACAGCAGTATATTCTAGTATTCTTGTCAGCTATGTAGGTTATATTTCAAAATATATGCTTAATGTGAAAACCACCTTACCCATTTTACAGATGAATACATTGATTGCTTGATCAATAATTACATATAACTTTAGCTCACAGAAGCATAAGGATTAGAATTGAATAGGATGTGTCAGATTACACTGCTTCTCCTCTTTCCTCCAAAAATTCTAAGAGAGAATATGAGCCAGAAAATAGAAAATATTTACATCATATTTCAGTAAACTTTGAAAACTATCCTGTTGAGCTCGCTCTTATTATTATTTGAAGGAATTCACAGATACACACATAGAAGTCCAAATGGATTTTCCTGTAATAGTTTATATCCTACCTTCTCCTCATCTGTTTTGTAGTATTCCTAAAAAGTCAACATTTCTCACATATTTGCAGACTGATTTAATTTTTGTTTTAATAACTTTTATTCCCAATCTTAGTGTTTTTTTAAAAGTCTAATAAACATTATTAATCTTATTAAAATGAAGGTATATCTAGTAAGATTTACTGATACTCAAATTTTTTGTAGGAGAATTTTCATTACTTCTAAACACGTGGCCCATGTATTTTAATTATGACAAAGTCAGCAAAACACATCAGCAAGGGAAGCAAAGGGAAAGCCATGGGCTTGAGAGACCTGGGCTTCCCTTCCTGCTATAGCATAAGCTATTCAGTGGCCAAGAATAAGGTCATCCCATGGTCCTTCCCTGTGCAAGACTGCAATAGCTCTAAGTGGCACAAGGTAAAGGCAGTTCCAACACACAGACATGGACTGGGTGCCCATTACATGTCCAACTTTGCATTGAGTGCTTGCAACCTCACAGCAGCTTCATAAGAGATATTATCATCCTCATTTTACAGATAACGAAACATAGGTTAAATGTTGCTCAGTGAACTGCCCATAGTTAGTGAGCGAGAGACCTGGACTTAAAACATTTATTTGATCACACCTAACAGTCCATCACTGAATCTGAAAGACTCCAAAGTAAACTGTCATGTGGCATCAGAACCCATTACTAACAGACACACTTAAGAATAGTTGGGGAAAATATTAAATCTATAGTTCCAGGACTCCTATACATTGTAGTTAGAGACACAAAATGGTACAACTATAAATGAAGTGTGACCAAGCAATCCCATTACTGGGACTTTAACCCACAGACATCCCTCCAAAAACACGTATGCACAAAATTACTGAATGAAGAAAAATGTGTGACTGTAAAACACTGAAAACTTTTCCTAAATATTCAAGCATGAGACATTCCTTGAATAAATTATGGTACATACATTCAATAAGAGGGCTATGTATGAAAGAAAGAAATCTCTCAATGAACTAATATAGAAAGATTTCTAGGACATATTACTAAATGAGGGGAAAAAAACCAACACAGTACAAAAGCCAATACAGTATGCTACCTTTTAGGAAAAAAAGAATGAAAATAAGAAGGAAAATAAAATGCTTATTTTTACAAAAAGAAACACAGGGAGCATGAACTAGGAAACAACTAACGTTGGCTACCTACAAGGAAGCATGGCAGAACAGGATGGAAGGAATGTGGAGTTGGTGATAATTCTCTGAGTTTTTGAGTACTTTTGATTTTCGAAAGCAAGTTAACCTTCTACATATTAAAAATATATAATTAAAGAATGTGAAGGAGAGGAAGCTAAAACTGAAAACAAGCTGAAACAATAAACCTAAGTAGATTTCAAATGAATATATAAGCACAGGAATGAAGAAAGAAGACCTGAATGATGAGAAGGAGGGAAGAAAGACAGACCAATCCAAGTAAATTTTGAACACAGTACTTGACTCTTAGGCCCTCTGTCTTGGCGAACTGATATATGTGAATGAAAGAACAGCAAATAATTGTCCATTTTAGTGGTCTGACTAAAGCAATTCTGAAACTACATGATATGCATTATAGAACTGAGCAAATGAGTAAATGTGTGGCTTTTGTTGGAAGCCAAAATTCTCATGGACAAAGAAAGGACATATAAATATAAAACGACAGGGGGTAAGGAAGAACCCTGTGGGACAGGAACTGGAGGTATGCTGTGAACTCATGATTTCTAAGTCTATGTATCAATATGTGTATGCCTATGTGTACATGTATTTCTATTTGTATGTACGTGTATTAGGATCTATGTGTGTGTGTATGAGGTATATATTCCCTAGCTCTTCCCTGAAAAGGCCAAGAAGCAAAGCCACCTTAGTACTAATGACCACACCTAGCACCCAGATCTAGACCATTTCCAAGTAAAAGGAACCAGAACTCCTCGGAAAACAGCTGACATCAGGGTGGGGCATGGTTGATACAACATGCATCTGAATATACTACACTAAAAAAAGAAGATATTAGTCCCAAAATGATAGGGGCAGATCCAAAAGAACGAGGAGTCACATCAAAGGGGATCCCATTGGCCAAATCTGAACAGCAAAATAGTTAGGTACCTATGCAAACTAATGCAAGAACATAAAACCAAATACCAGGTGTTCTCACTTGTAAGTGAGAACTAAACATTGAATACACATGAACATGAAGATGGAAATAACAGACACTGGGGACTACTGGATCGGGGAGGCATGTACTGAAGAACCACCTGTTGGGTACTATGCTCACTTCCTGGGTGATGGGATCATTAGCACCCCAAGCCTCAGTATCACACAATATGCCCATCTCACAAACCTGCACATGGACCCTTTAATCTATAATAAATGTTGAAAGTAGTAAAAATAAAAAGGTATAGTAATGTATTTTAAACCACTGAAAAAACAAGAGCTAAAAAGTACTGACAATAGATAAGTAAAAGGGAGAGAAGGCAGGGCTCTTGCTTCAATAGAATGCTGAGAGCTGACTCTTAAATGTAGAGAGAGTAGAAAGCTAGAAAAATCAGCATTTTGCAACCATCTTAGTTGAAGATTGGATCAGGCAAGAATCCTCGATGAATGCTAAATTTACAGAGAATTTTAAAGAGGAACTGGGAATTTGCATTGATTTAAAGCATCTCCCCATAGACTACTTATTAGTTGCGAGAGAAAGAGAGAGAAGAGAGGAGAGAGGAGAGAGGAGGAGAGGAGAGAGGAGAGAGGAGGAGAGAGGAGGAGAGAGGAGGAGAGAGGAGGAGAGAGGAGGAGAGGAGAGAGGAGAGGAGAGAAGAGAGAGGAGAGAGAGAGAAGCAGGAATCATACAGCAGAGAAATCAGGCCACACTGTGATGAGTGATCAAACTTAAGAGCCAATGAGGGACAGGTGGTCACCATGTGCTCCCAGATGGGACACCTGAGAAGGACACTATTTTACCAGTGCAGCTGTACAGCTAGGAATGTATAACCTTAGTCTAATCACAAGGAAACAGCTGAAAAACATGAAATAAGAAACTCTGTTTTAAAACAGTGGGGTACAACTCTATTCTTTTAAAATGTCAATGTTATAAAAGATAACAAAATGCAAGAAAGTGTTCCAGATTAAAGGAAGTTACCTAAATTCTATACTGTAGGGGGGAAATGCTGAAAAGGACATTATTAGGTCAACCAACAAAACTGGAATAGGGAAGCTAGACAGTAAACGTATTATATCATTATTAATTTATTAAGTTGTTAAACATACCATGGTTACATCAGAATATCCCTATTCTTAGGAAATACACACGTACATATTTATAGTCTATGACATTTGTAACTTACTCTCAAGCTGTTCTAAAAAGAATCACCTGTGTGTTTAAGGAGAAAAAGAAAGCACAAATAACAAAGTCAGTCAAGTAAAATGTTAATCATAAGTGACTCTAGGTAACAGTAAATGAGTATGTTCTTTGCAGTATTTTATTTTTTGCAACTTTTTTATAAATTTGGAATCATTTGCAAATAATACTTTTTAATATCTACAGAACCATTTAAAATGTGAAAGGAACCCCCACATAAGTGTGACCTCTTGTGCTTGCTGACAAACTGTGGTGACTCCTGGCTATCACTGCTTCCCATGTACTCTCCTTACAGCAAGCTCAACAACTCTGCCAAGTGGATCTCATTACTTGCAGCCAGGGTTGCCAGGAACCTTTTGGTTCTACATCCTGTCACACGAGGTAACTTTAGCTGAGGTTAGTTTCCTGAAGTATTATATATAAAAGCAAGTACAGCATCATTTATTCATTCTTTCATTTATTTCACAAGTGTGCTTACTACATGCCAAATTCTTGGCCAAGTCCTGTGTCAGGAATTACATCCTTCCCCTTGTCACAAAAATCAAGAAATTCCAGTATGATCCTAAATTCCCATTTTCTACAAAATCATTGAATCTGCTTCCAATCAAACAATTTTACCTTCAAAATGCTTCCCACATCTGCCCACTTCTCTCCATCTTTGCAGTGAGTCCTCTCATCTCCCCGTGATCACATCTACTCTGTCTGCCTCTGTGCTTAAATCTGTGAAGTGTTGCACTCTGCAGCCAAAGAGTGCTTTCTGAAATGCACATCTGATCATGGAGGGTAAAGCCCAGAGTTAATGTCACACCCAATTTCCCCCAAGTCCTCAATCCATTCTCAAGTGTTGAGTCTGAGCTCAAACCCACAGGTAAGAGAGGCTCTCCCCTGAAAAGGGTCAGGTTGAACAAGGTGGTGCACTAGAACCACCCCATGTTCTTTAGGTCTTGTATCCCACATCTCCAGAGGGAATGGGCAGACATGGAAACCCAATCCTCACTCTCTTCCTAATCGACTGGACCAATTCTCATGATGCTCCTTATCTCTGTGTATCCCAGTCACCTCCAAATAATGCTTACTGAGCACACCTCCTCGCCTATCTCTTTTTTCATCACCACCCATCTCCTGAAACCCTTGCTTTGTACCCTCTGGAATACTTGGCCTCTCATCCACAAACCCCTTGCTCCTCAATCTGTTCCTTTATATGTCTTTCACCCTCCTATACTAGGAGATACTTGGCTTTCCCTGAAGACCCTGCTTCTGCTGCAGTCCTCAAGAGATGGATGCGTCTTCTGTCTCCACTGTTCTCACATCTGTGAGCCTAAAAGTGGGGGAGGATCCTCCTTGCTCCACAGTGCTGCTTTCAGACCATTCTCTCTCTTTCCTTCCTCCTAAAATTCCCAGCTTTGGATCTTATCAGTTTATGAGATTCTGCAATCTTTCATGGTGGCTGTCATCCTTAAAGTCATCCTCCTCATATCCTGAGGCTGGCATAGTCCCTGCCAGCTATATTCCTATTTATTCCCCTTGTACCAAAACAACTCAAAAGAGTTGTCCATACTCACCATCTCCAATTCTTATCTTCCTGTTACTGTTACCTCTCTTATGGGTTTTTCTTAATGAATATTAATTAATTTATTTGTTCATTCTCCTGTTAATGGAATTCTGGGTTAATTTCTCTCACTTTTACATAAGTGCTGCACAGAACGTATCTCTAGGGTATATATACTTAAGAGGGAAACTGCTGGGTTGAAGCTCAGTCTTCCAATCCACTGAAACTCATCTTGTCAGTGGTCTTCTACATTCCTAAATTCACTGGCCCATTCTCAGCCCTTACCCTATCTGACATATCAGCATCATTTGACACATGCTTAATACATGACATGCTTAATACATGACACATGCTTAATGCATGCTTAATACTTGGCATTCAGGATAATTAATGTTCCTTCTACCTCACTGGCTGATTCTTTTCAGCCTCCTTTGCTGGTTCTCTCTCTTCTTCTCTCATTTATACTCATTCTCCTAGTGATTTCTGATAGTCTCATGGCTTCAAAAACCAGCAGATACCAATGATTCTCAAATTTATATATTTTGCTCAGACTTTGGTACTGAATGCCAGGCTCACATAGCTCACTTCTTATTTATTATCTCCACTTAGATGTCTAAAAGACATCTCAAATAAAAAATGTTCAAAAGGGACTCCTGATCTTCCTCAAGTCTGCTCTATCCATAGCCTTCTCCACCTCACCTGATGGTAGCTCTATCCTTCCTGCTTTTCAGGCCAAACTCGTTTAAGTTACCAGGACTTCTCTCTGTAATATCTGCCCACATTCAAGAAACCCTGGTGGCAAAATCCATAATCCAAAAGCGTCTCTGCACTTTGACTGTTGTCAGCTTGACCCACTGAGATAGAGACATTATCATCTCTTGCCTGGATTTTGAAATATGCATAAGTTGTTGAATGAGTTAAGAGGCAACAGTCTTAGTTCTCAAGTTATTCAAAATCAACCATTTGATAATAAACTTAAAAAAAATTCAACACCTACTAAAAAACACGTATTCCCAAAACCAAAAACACATAGTGATAAAAGAGTAGTGATGTTTTTGTTAAAACAGAAAGCCAATCAAGGATGCCTTAGACTGTTACATCACTTAGTACTCTTCTAGAAGTTCAGACCAACACTATAAAATATGAAACATAAATAATAGAATTGGAGAAACAAATTATTTTCATTTGCAAGTGATATACCTATAAACATTTACGAGAATCAAATTAAGAACTCTTGGCTGGAATACAACAAGAATTCAGCAAAACAACTAGTTCTGAGATAAACAAAATTCCACGGCGTTCACTTCTCTTAGCAAAAACCAATTAGAAGAGAAAATAGAAAGAAAAGATTGCATCTGTAACAGCAAGAAAAAAAGTAAAACACATAAAAAGAAAAATCAAACACCACGAACAAACATCAAAACAGATGAATAAATCTAACAAAAAAGGAAAAATTCTCATGATACGATATAAAATACAAAGGCATGTACAAAACCACACAGGGGATAATCTACATGTATGTATAAATACCTATATTATACATTCACACTGATAGGGTGAAACCTAGAAGCAACTGTACCAAAATATTAATACCTCTGAGTTTTAGGATAAAGAGTCATTTTAATTTTCTTCTTTGCAGGGTATTTTTTAGATTTTCAACAGTGAACATGTAAAGTCTTTATACTAAAAGTTTAGTTGTTTGTAAAAAAATTATGTAAACAACAGTACTTATTTTGAAGTTTAATGCATGAAAGTGTCTCTGAATTTGGACTAAATGCGCTGACCATACTAAGTCTTTCTGACCAGATCAGCAAACCAGCAGAATAAGCATTTCAACCATTCTTCATGATGAATGTGATTACTGTTCCAAGTGATGGGTTTTCAGGGGCTTTTTAATTCAATTTGTGATTCCAGTTAGGCCTCCATAATAATCATCAACTTAATTCTACCATTATGTAAATCACTGCCTGACAGAGGGGTACCCTGGTGGAGAAAGAGAAAAGACCCACAAGCAAGAATGCTCAGGAAATAGAATGCTTTGACTAAATTAATGTGATATTTAATACCAATTTTAAAAACTCCCTTTAATTCAAGCCTCTGAGTTATGTGACCTGCTTTGCCACCTTATTAAAGATCACTGACACTGGGCTTAATGACCTAGAAGTGTGCAGTATCTTGGGCCTCCCCAGACATTTCATCTCAAAGCCAAAGAAGGAATGAGGTGGGGGTGGAAGACACCTGAGCCAAGTACACAGGAAACAGGGATATTCAGTGGAGACTGCCATTTGAAAAATAACATGATGATATCAATTTTGTTGCTGTTGTTTTTGCCTAATCATGAAGAAAGAAGTTGAAAGTACATGCAGGTTAGCTGTGACTTTACCAAATATTTATCCTGAGACAGTGGTAGACATATATTTTAAGGCACTGTAATAATAACATAAAAGTCATTCACCAAAGACCTCACTCACAAAAATAACTTATAAGGGAAAGAATACTTTAAATAATAGTACTGTTTCCATAAAAGTCTCTTGATATCGTATTCTGCTAAAAATAACTGGAAATATTATTTTCAAACCTATTTATCAGACCTTATTCCTTGATTAATATTACTTAGATGAATTATTATTCGTTTGAACCTCATGGCAGGATAGGGAGAAAACTACAAAACTCTCCTATGTAATTAACTACTCTACTTTTTGAATGATTTAAATTCAGTCTTACATTAGCACATCTTTTAAAATTGAGATGTCTAATCAGGAGCTGAAGAACACATTGGATTTCCTCCAAACTAGACCATAAGAACAACTATGCAGTTTCTAGACTATCATTTCTTTAAAAATCTGGAATTTCCCTTCCTTACAAGTTGTTAAAACTCATTTCAAAATCCAATTTTAATTTGTCAGTAAATGGCAGCATGCCATATCGTTCAGGATGAGATATATTTTTTTTTCCTATTAGGAGAATGAAGAGTAGCATCAGGTTTTCTGATTCGGCAGCACATAGTGTCTGTCTCTGTGCTTCAGTTCATTGATCATTCAACAGATATTTATGAAGTTCCTACTACATGTGAAGCACTCTGCCAAATACCATGCCCCAAATGTAGCTGCAGCTATATGGGTCCTGTGTCTCAAGGCGTGCATGCATAAGCACCAATTTACTTTTTTTTTTAACCAAGAAAATCAATTCAATTCCATTAAGTTTTTGTTCTGCACAAAGTTAGTATCAGAGACAGAAGGACAGATTCTCCTATATCATGTTTTCACTCATGTATTCCATAAATATGAATTAAACATTATATTTTCACTCATCTACCCCATAATATATGGATACTTCATATAGTAGCACTTCAATGAAGCATTATTTTCACAGGTAGATCAAAAGGAAGCTTTCACATACTTGCCTTCCTTTTTCTCAAAGCTACTCGTCAAGGCTCCAAAGCACATCCAGGCACCAACAAACTCTGTGCCCATTACCCAAATACTCCCAGAGGACACTGCCAAGTTGTAAAGAAGGCCGGCATTTTTGCACTCTCACCATACATTTTCCCTTGAAAGCATCCAGAATTTCCATCTGGTTTGTCTATCACACTCGATGAAGGAAAGAGCGGAAGCGAGACTCCCAAAGGTTGTTTAATTAACATTAGAGTAAAATTAGAACACATTTTTGCATTCCTGAATGCAGGTTATACCCTTCTGATTACAACTTTTACCTTCTACCCTCACAGAGAATACTGGAAAGCAAATTTCACTAATAACAACAATCACCTCCTATTATCTCCTCTGCCCTAAAAGGGTTTTGTTTTCCTTTGCTAAAACGAAAATGCCCATTTTCTCCATTACCCTCTCATTCATTTCCCTTTCCTTCCTTAAGAAGCTGTGCATGTGAGTTAATTAACCTGGCTCCATGTGGAAGCAGCTGAAGAAAACATTTATTCACAATGTCTTTTAAGCTATAAATGAACACACAAGACACCCCCCCTTGTAATTTAAGCTAAGGACTTGGAAACTTACATCTTTTCCCAGTACTCTGAGTTCAAACTGAGTCTCCTTGAAGTGAACCTTTGTAATCCGAGGCCTAAAAAACAAAGCATATGGTGTTGTTGCTGTTTTTAAGTACTAACCTTTCAGAAAATCAGGAAAGTGTCCAGTGGAAAAGACTAGTGAATATTGGCTCCTTTATATACTGCTTCATACCCAGTACATACAGAGACAGAGAGAGTTCCCCATATGCCCTAGTTCTGTTCTCATTGTCCCGTGCTTCTCCACTGAATGCACGGTTGACCTTGGAATCCCCAGGTTGTGGTGGCAGTGCTGCCTTCCCAAACACAGTGCAGGGCCATGGGCTTCCCAGTCTCTCCAGCTCATCCCAATTTAGAGCTAAAAGTCAAAGTAGTCCTGGATCCACAGCCTACCAGCACATATTGAAATGGGTGAGAAATCCTACTACAAACAGCTCCCGTGAAGAAGAGAGTCTAGAATCACAGTGTCTGAAATTTACAAAGAAAATATATACTGAGGTGCATTAGGAGAAAACTCACACCCAATTTCACTCATTTATTTATCAACCACTGAAAATATACCTGTTTTCTTTTCCCCAACTCTTTCACTGACACAGTGAAAGTCCTTTAAGTTCAAAACAGAGTGCCAACTCTGTTCTCAAGCCATACCTACCAGAAATACTTCCCCACTTGCTTTTTATTCTTGTAGACAACAACACCAACTGGTGTTAATCCTAAGAAATACTCAGACTTGTTCTCTCCCTGCAAAAACAAACATATGCCTATTATAACCACATAGTCACATAAAATCTCTTTGTCAAAATATAATTGACCATACAAATATAATTTGTTACATTAATATTGGGTTGCATTTTTAAAAGACAGCAGCTTAGAAAGCTAGATATACTATGATAGTAGCTAACTTGTTGCTTATTTTTTTTTTCAAAGTTTTAAAGGAAATGTCCTGTTAGTGTTCTTCATACTTGTCACTTCTGTTCATTAAAACAAGCCGAGACTGAGTCAGGCCAGCAGATGACTTACTCAACATTCTTTACACAGTGGTGTTCAATCCTAGCAGCATATTAACTAAAATCACTGTGCAGCTTAAAATGCTGATGCCTGGGCACTACCAAAAACAGTTAAGTCAGAACCTCTAATGAAGAGGCCAAAGCAGTGAAAACACACAGAACTCCCAGATGATACTTCTGTGTAGTCAAAGACTGAGAACCACTGGCTTCTATCAAGGGTACTTTTGAATGGCTTCATTTATCTGTGACATGGACAATCATGAAACCAACTTTGTCCCCACCCCAACTCTCTCTAGAAAGTTTAGGCAATCACCAGCAGACACACACTTGAATTTTCTGAAGTCTCTATCATGTGTTTTCCTACTTCCACCTGTAACTTTATGACTGCTTAAAAATTTAAAAATACAGTATCTTCTGGTAAACACTCGAGAACCCTTATTTTCAGGCAATAATAAATCCAAATTACAAAAATGGGATCTTGAAAAAGTCACAGAGTGGGTACCAAGGACATGCAAAGAACTGTTTGTAATAATGTTATTTCTACTCTACGATAAACAGTAACCTGCAAAATTATATTCACAAAGAACATAACAAATTTGGAAGAATACCAGCCGATATCCACTTTCAGTTCTTAAAATTCAAATCTTAAAGGAATATGTGAAGAGTCTCATCAATCTAGCTCATTTGCCATAAACTCCTACCATCAACCAAAGGTGATTTCTAATTAGGGTAACACTACACAAATGTAGGAGCATCTTGCAGAAGACTCTCTTTATAAATTTCCTGTAGAGTAGTTTCTTTTAAAAACTGAAAACCTAACAAGATTAATGTGGCTAAAGGGAGGGAAGGGCAAATTATAATGATTCTACAGTTTTAGAAGCATTCTTAATGGACAGTGCTATGACGCATTTAATGCCCTAATGAAATGGAATCTAACATATCAGGGAACTACTACTTCCCCCAAAACCATAACTTTTATTGCCACATTAACTATATAAACAGTAATGCTTCTAAATGTAAACATATTATGAGATGGTTTCTTCTTTTAGGAAATGCTAATGAGCAAGACATGTACAAAATGAATGCATGTGTGTTATTCACACTGTAGAAAGTTTTATTGGAGTGATTTAAAAACTGAATTACATGATCCAATAGACAAAAAAAAAAAATCAGTCTATAAATACTCTTCAGCAATTCATTTCCTATAAAGAATAAAGCACCTGGCTCATTTTCTCAAATAAAATATAACTTTTGCTACCCACACTCTTCTTAATTCAAAGGCAAGGCATTCTAATCTCATTGGCATAGAATAATCAATTGGTAGCCTAAAAGCAGCAGCTCAAAGGTTAAAACTTGGATGCAGAACACTCAGCAGATTCAGTGTAATTGCTCACTGACTACTATTCAGCAAGTTTTCATAAACCACTGAAAAAAATCTGCGAGGATATTAATGCAGTGATACCTACAGTATGTGGTAACCCTCATATTGACTGAACCAATAGTAGTTGTACCTGACCTATTGCCTAATGCCTACTTTACCTGGCAAGTGATTTTATTTATGCCTTGCTGCCATAAAATCTATTTTTGGAATATCCTCCTGTTTTCTTTCTAATATGATCGATTATATACCAATTTTTTTTTTTAAAGACACAGTCTTGCTCTGTTGTCAAGCTGGAGTGCAATGGCATGATCTCGGCTCACTGCAACTTCCACCTCCCAGGTTCAAGCAATTCTCCTGCCTCAGCCTCCTGAGTAGCTGGGACTACAGGTGTGCGCCACCACAACTGGCTAATTTTTGTATTTTCAGTAGAGACAGGGTTTCATAGTGATGGCCAGGATAGTTATGATCTCTTGACCTCATGATCCGCCTGCCTCGGCTTCCCAAAGTGCTGAGATTATAGGCGTGAGCCACTGTACCTGGCCTATAAACCAATTTTAAATGGTTCTGCTGTTTAGCTAAGCCTTTTGGATCTGTTATCCAGATTGTGTTTTCAAGTCCAGTTAATTGTTTTTTACACATGGAAATACAATCACAGATTTTTATGCAAAACTCATTAGGGTTTAA